GCACATTTGGGCGCATTATGCAAATATTCCCACATAGTGACCTAGATATGTGGGGGCGTGTTAGAACGAGCCATTTTAGGGGGGTGTGGCAGAGTCTTAACTTTGATAAAGAATATCTCTTTGGTTTTGAGACTTTAGTCTTTGCAACTTCAGGGATCTTATCTATGCACAATCAGCTTGTAACATTCCAAAGAGAAAGGAAAACTTGAAATCACATCATATGACCCCTTTAAAACGAATCCCAAGCCGTTTCATCATGACATCAACATGAAACATTAGCATATTGCCTGCCCACTTGTTGGTCTTTTCGTGTTAGTCTGAATGAAAATACAAATTCATTCTTTGCCACTAGGTGCGGCTTTTGGAGTGGTAAAAATAGCTGTTTCCCCGGTAACGCTGTACACAAAGCAGCACTGCGCTCACAAACGCTGCTTTATCAGGCATTACAGGCATGATGAAATGAAAATGAGACCAATCGGACCAATCACCGCAGATTAGCGTCACGCAAAGGAGGGGTTTGGAAAAAAGAATCATTGAGTGAATAATTTGGGAGTCGTTGAGCAAGCAAGGTAAAAAAAAAAAGTATATTATAAGACAATAAAAGTGTTATTTGACCTTGCATGCCTGTCAACCTGTTGTTAGAGACTCCCAAAACCAAAATCTGAACCTTTCATTACCCATAATAGGGGCACTTTAAAGGCATTCACTTTGCGTTATCAAAAAGCAATAATAACACTACTATTATAGCAATTATAACAATTATAACATTACAATATATGCATTTGTATTAAGGCTGTCGATTTGAAACGTTAATTAGGTGTGATCAATTATGGAAAAAAATAACAATAAAATTATTAATGCAGTAAATGCACCAGCCTCAGATCTGTACGTCATCTTACACTGCATGCAGTTGCTGACGAACATGACGTAGGACAACAACTGACTACATGATGCAGTCTATTAGAATGCAGTTATATGCCCCTAAAGTTCAGGATATGAGGGCAATAAAATGTATGGGTTTTTGTCTTATATATTATAAATCTGTCTTACATATTTATAACATATGATATAGTATAGCAATATCACACATGCAAGAGAGTGTTTTTTCCCTGAATATCTGCAAAATTGCAAATGTGGCATTGGTTTTATACAACAGGTTAATAAACTGCGTTTTAGACACAATATTGAATGTTTTGCTCCATTTCGCCAACAAAAATAGTTTCAAACAAAGCTATGACAGAATCATTACGCCTTTCCGAGCAACATACAGCAATGCAGGGCTCTACAGTGCGACTATTTCAGTCGCCTTTGTGAATGAAAAGTACTGCATGCAACTATGAAAAAATATTTAGGAGCACCCGTGCGACTGACCAGATCAGCATATTTGTGTTTGCGCTGAGGGAGCTTCAAAGGTTCTAACGTACTTGCGTGTTTTTGCAGCATTGAGTAATGTGTCACAGACGTATCCTCTCATTATAACAAACAAAGTGTAGACAGAGTATAAATAAGAGATTCATGTGCAGTGTAAGGAACTTTGTTGATTATAATGGAGTTTAGTGAGATTGCGATGAACTAAGATGAGTGACAGCTTTTAATGATTATTAAGGGAGTTTGCAAATGTGCCATTGATTTAATACAACAGTTCATTAAACAAGAAGTTAATATTAAGTGACATATTGTCTGACAACAACACAATTGCCTTATTTTGCTCTATTTTGTCAACGAAAATAGTTTCAAACAAAGTAACAGCTGAGCCGCTGAGCATCTCCATTCAAACACAACAGCGTTTCGTTTATGAATGAACTGCGTTTTTAAACAAATCTAGTGAGTCAATGATTCAATTACC